CCTCCCTCCCTCCCTCCCTCCCTCTCTGAGCTCACTTCCAGCATCTTCCTTCATTACGTTTTTTTGTTATGCAGAGACAGACATGAAAGTACTCTTGTTTTAACTGAGTTTAGTGATCTTCCTCAGTGGTCAGAAACTCAAAACCCTCTCCTTTCACAGTTCACCACTGAGTTCTACTCCATCCAGCGCTGGGGCATAACAACTGGGAGACAAGACAGAACGGGAAATCTTGCAGAGTTGCAACTGGCATCCTCCTTGAGCTCCTGAGAGCTTTTAAATTTAAAAAAACTAAACCAAACCACAACTTGGTCTCTTCCTCGTGGCACATTAGTTGATCGCTCACAATGTCCTGCCATAGGGAAATGAATGAAACAGGACGGGCAGTTTGCTATGGGTGGGAAAAATATATCTAAGTCCCAAAGAGTTAGCTCAAGAAATGTTGTGCTTCGCCAGAGGAACCTGTCAGGATCTTCATGAGAATGGCCGAATTGTCTTCTTAATTAGGAGGCTTTCAGAACCTAAAGGAATCTTCTCTTTTCTCACTAATTTATTGCTAATGTTCTTTCCCCCATCTCTGGTTTGCCCATCCTCTCTTCCTGTTGGTTTGCTTGGCTTCCTTTGTTTTTCATTAGTCTCTCTCTTTCTCTGACCTCCAACCATGCAGGCTCACCCTTCCTCGTTTTTTTTCTTATTATCCTTCTGATTGTAACTACTGATTGCAATGGTAAGCAAAGAAAACCTCTTTTCTACTTTAAGTGTTTCTGTGTTTATTTTTATACCAATAATACGCTAGTCCCTGTGAGAGAGGGGGTGGTGATGAAACTGATATCTCCATGCTCCTTGCTCTGCTGACTAAAAGGAATAATTGTAACCCCACAGCAACTTCAGCATCGGTGTCCCAGAGATCGGAAAGCTAGTATACAGGGCACACCACTTGAAATTTATTGGATACATTGGCTATTTTAAGGCACCAAGTCAGGGGAGGCGTGAAAACTGATATATTAAGACAGTTTGTAATTTATATGGAGGTCTTTTAGTAACCAGTCAGTTATTAAGCGGAATTTTATTCTGATATGCCTCATTTTGATGTTACGTAGCATGATGTTAAGTTATGTATATATATATCCACGCACAAACGTATTTCATATTTTTAGGAAGTAATTTTCTCCAAAAGATGACACTGCAAGTATGACGGATGCCATCGTTATTTTCGGACGACGAGCACTTCCTAACGACTGAAGCTGGAATGTGACAAAAAATCCTTCCGGTGGCCATCAATCATCAGCATGAATACAATCAAGATTCATACCGGTTATCTGACTTTTTTTGAATAGCAGTGTGGAGCTGATGCCTTAACACTATT